TCAGACGTGTGCTCTTCCGATCTCCCCAAAACCCCAAAACCCCACTTTGAGGATTTCAGTGAAATCTTAAATTCAGTAGTTTTTAATGTTGATAAAAATTGTACTTAAAAAGATAATAAAACATATCTATTAAATATCAAGAAGAATATTTATAAAATGGAATCGCTTTCAGTCTAGTCAAAAGAAGAGCCATAAATTAAGAAAAGAACTAGTGCCAATCTTTCATCACTTTTAGACTCCACAAATGTATTGAACGTAGCTGATATGTCAAATTGCAATACTGTATCTGGAAGGACTCTATAGAAGAGAGGATCATTCCAGTTTGCGAAAAAGAGCAGTTTTTCGAAGAAGGGTTCTTCATCTAGAAGTGCTGACCTAGGAGATGACTAAATATAGGGCAGCGACACTAAGGAAAGACATGAGGATGGTAAATCTTACCTCTTCAGAATGAACTCTGATTTTGATAGGAAAAAATATTATGAGGAGACAGTCCTAAAGATTATGAATGAGATGTCAGTTAGTAAGATTATAGAGCCTCAGGGGTGTAGTTAGTTCGGAGAAAGATTTCCAAATAAAAGTCCACACAAGAGGACTATTTTTCTTGATCTTGATGATACTCTCATATATGTATCCATACTAAAGATCGATAATGAATTATTAAAAGGCCATCAAATAGAGTTAGAGTCTAGTGGTGGATAAATAATGAAGGTAATATTATAAGTCAATTGAATTATATATAGATGTATGTTTATTTTAGACCTGGACTATATGATTTCTTAGATTCTATCTATGAAAACTTTGAAATCGTTTTATTCAATAATGGCTCACTTGCATATACAGAGAGTATAGTTAAACTTATTCTAGAAAATTCTCCAGCAGGTAAGAAAGACTACTTTAGCCATGTATTATCTAAAGAGCAGTGCAGCGCTAATGACTCAGGGCATGAAATTAAAAATTTAGAACATTTTTGTAATTTCGATTCAAATAGGGAAATCAATGACTGTTTAATTATTGACAATAACATCTATTCCTTCCAAAAGCATTTGACAAATGGCTTGTTGATAGATAAGTTTGAGGGTAATTCCAATGACGATTGGCTTGAAATACTTAAACTATATATCAGTGATAAATTCTGCGGTGAAGCATCAATTATAGACATAAGAAAGACTATAAGTTCTGATTTCAACTTTGATAGGATTGTCAACAACACAAGAACATCAATGATAAGGTAGATGATGAATAAAAATCTTATAGTAGAGGCACTCCTTCAGGAGGAAAACATGCAACATGATTGAGTAAATCATATTAACATTATGAGATATATCATATTAGTTTTAATAACAATAATGAGATTGTTAGATATAAACTTGTTAGTTTTAATTTATTACTTAAAACGATGTTCTTATTTAATTTGCTAAACTTATTATTTAAATAATTGTAAAAGCATTAAGAGACTTTAAATTCAACGCAAAGTAATTGATCATTAAGTCAAATGTTAAATTCTCTACTGTGCTTCAAATTTGCTGGCTAATGCTTATTTAATCATAACTCAGATGAAGTAGTTCTTTCTGACAATGGTTGAGAAGTAATCCTTTGGCATTCTTTGAACTGGAGTAGCAAGTCTTTGGAATTTCTCAAATCTAACTGGGTCGTGTACGCACTCCTCAAACAAGTTAAGCTCTGGCTCGCATACTCTCATTTGACCATCAAGTCTGAATAAACATTCTCTGGCATCATTAAATGGTTCTAAGCAGACTGGCTCAAAGCTCAAACTATCGAAGAATTTTAATATCACATAAAGCAAATTGAAATGGTTTTACTTCTTTGAATGGCATTTGAGCAAGTCAAGTGCTTCTTTCTTGGAGTTCTTAGGGTGCTTTTAGACTCCATCTGAAGCTGTATTTCTCTTGTCTTCATATCTGATAATCTCCTTTCTGCATTTGTCAAAGTTGACATAGAAGAAGATCATTTGCTAAATAGAATAACTTTACTCAAATATACTTCGATGCCTGGCATGTCAAAAACTCTCTTCAAGTCAAAGTCAACTTCATGTCCTCTATAATAATGATATTAGATATATTAGGACTTACTCGTTTCTGAAATCTTTGTCTGTGAATTTTGGAATATTTGCCATAATTATTAATTATTTTCATTTCTATAATAATTCTTAAATATAAACTATCCCGGGGTTTTGGGGTTTTGGGGTTTTGGGGTTTTGGGG